GAAATTGATGGAGCTGTTACATAATTAACTGGGTCAAGCTTATATATTTGTAGGCATATTATTCTAAAATTCTCAAAAACATCTGCTAAAATCATAACATCACTTTCTAAATACAATTTTAAATAATCCCTAATACTCTTACAATTAAAGGTTGACCAAACCTTTTGAGCAAATTGGTAAGCCTCAAAAGAACAAGGTTGGTCTGTTAGGGAATTATAGAAATATTCAATTGGCGGGAGATTTTTTTCTTCCATTTTTTCAAAACTATCTAAAAAGTCATATGGGAATACCCCTTTTTGTCTCATTTGATTAAATTTCTCCCCTTGAAATTTAGTTTTTAAAAGTTTAAAATTAGATTCATCCATGTAGCTAGCTAGTTTTTCTAGACTAGAATTTAAAAACCTGTTGGAATCTATGAATTGAATTTTGTAATAATCTTTTTCATCAAATCTAATAGTTTGGGTCAAAGCAATATATAATTCCTTATTACAAGGAATCGGTTTTAAATTATTTCCTAATTCCTTAATAAATAAATGAATGTCATACCTAGAAAGGTTATGAAAAACTACTGGGAAAAACGCTTCAGTTAACTTATAATCTACTTTACAATTTTTATGGATATAGCCTATATGGCTACCAGAAAATTGATCATAAAACATTTCTGCGTTATCCCGTATCGGTAACTCACAGGCACAGCAATTATCGTTGTCGACGGAGATAGGTTCGCATTCATCTTGGAGCCTTGTTTGGGTGGTCCAATATTTGTGGTATAAGCCCTTGGTAGTATCCTTGAGTGCTTGACAAAACTTTTTAATGCAATCATCTCCTTTAAAAGAAAATATATTTATTAATATTAAATCACTTTAGATTGTAATATTGTTTTTACCTTCATAGGTCCATTGTCTATTAAGACTTGGGTTATATTTATGTACCACAAAAAATGATACAGCGCAAGCAATATGCTCTTGAGATGTTGTTGTAGATGAAATTGATGGATCGTTTTGGGTTGTGTGAACTTTTTTTAATACCGCTTCAATGTCTGCATATATAACTACCGGTGGTGATAGTTTTTTATAAAAATTTTTAAATTTTGTTATGGTATTCGGCTTTGGATATTCCGCAGCCACTTTACCGCATTCCTTGGTATCATGTGTAGAATTTGTTGACGTTATAAACTGTAAACAGTTTTCACAAAAATAGGCAGGGGTTCTAGATTTTGAATGCTGTGAGTAGCATAGTGTTCTCATACAGGTTATATAAGCATAATGCATCAAATTGTTGTTTGAAATTGCCAGCAAATTGATATGGGATGGTCTCCCCTTAAAATCAGTTCTTACTACTGGTCCAACAATTTGTGTTCCTTTAGAATCGTGTTCGTATACGTTAACACTAAAGTTGGGGTTCAATTTCTCAAATTTTTTTATCCCCTTTTTCGTAATAGGAAACTCTATTCCTGAAAAATTAAGTTCCACTTGTTTGTACTTTATTTTTTCTTGTGAAATGTTAACATTTATATATTTTATGGGGAGTTGTAATTGTTCTCTAGCAAACCTCCGTTGTCTGGGGTTAGAAAATGTTTCCAAAGAATGACTTTTATAAGCTATAGAAGCTAGTATACTCCACTTAAAACAATAATTATCATTGTTTTTAACATTAATTAAAGCGTTCTTAGCCTTAATAGTAGGAGGTGCTGAAATATATCCTCTTACAGGAATGTGCTCCAGTTTTATTATTGTAATATCAAAATATTTAAATGCTTTTATTGCCCATCCAGAATCTCTTTCCTGGAACTCACTACTAGCATTTGATAAATAATCGATACCTTCATCAATTCTAGTAGGTAAGTTATCAACATCATACACAGATATGTAGGCCGTTCCAAAATGTTTAAAGGTTTCAATACACTCTCCCTCCTCTGTGTATTTTACATATAGTCCATATACTTGTAAACTGAATTTTATTGATATGTATTCCTCTAGCCATCTAGTAAGAATTTGTTTAATATTATTTTGACATTGATTATAGAATTCTTTTATATCAATAAAATTGGATGTGCTGGTTGATTGAACCCTATAGGATTTGATTGGGAATTCTGTATCTGAAGCCAGATGAATTATTTCAACATCTGTTACTCTTCTAGCAATTGCATTCTTATGCTTTTCCGATTTTAAATGTTTGATTTTTCCGGTTTGGGGATATCTTTCTCCACATAGATCGCAGATAATTTCGATTTGAGATTTAATCCTTTTTGGATTACTCTCAAGAGCGGAATTTTCATCATTTCTACTTCGCTTAATTCCAGCACTCGAAGTAGATGGTAGCTGGTCAATAATATCATATTCGTTGATATCTATCTTTTTTGTATTTTTGGCCCGGGCTTGCATTAGCGCATTGAAAGCATTTTTTGGTCCTAGACACATTTTATAATGATCACTAAATTTTTCACAATCTACATCAATTGAACATAAATCACAACTAATCTTATTTTTTGGTGCAATACCATTTCGAGGTTTTGAGCACTCCTCGTAATGAACTTCGAACTCCGACAGATTAATTTTGTTATTACAAATATCGCACTGCACTGAAGCCATTGCTTAATATTTTTTGTTTATACTTTTTATTAAGCACACAAAAATTAAAAACGAAAATAGAGTTTTAAACAGAACGCAGTAAACCGACGATGTCTATTCGTTCCTTAGATCCAAAGAACTAACTTTTACCTGGTTGATATAATTGAACGAAGACTCTTTTTTAACTATCTCTGTTTGGAGAATAGGGTAGGGGAGACTCGTATATATTCGATAAACATATGGGATTGTGGGTGCGTGTTTGCTTGTGTGTGTGAGGGTGGAAAATTTCTAGAAGTACATGGTTCTCAAACAACTGTGATGGCGACTGAATAGTTGTGTGTATGTAGATGCACCATAGAGTATATGGTGGTGGAGATCTTGTCGAGATCTCATACTATTAATTAAATGGGTTTACAATCAGTAGTTCCATGAATTAATACAACTACAGCTTTAAGTAGCTACAACTAATGCATTCGGCCTTTAATTTTATTGGGGTTGAAAAGGGATTCAGTAATGCCATAGGTTTCACCGAAATGTTCAGTGTGCATGGTTCTGTATCCCAAGATTTCGGTCACCAAAAACACAGGTACTTTTCCCTATACCTAAAAAATAGCCTTTGTATACACATAGATAGGATAAACCTAAAAAATAGCCTTTGTATACACATACATAGGATAACGGAATTTCTGATTTTAACTAGAAACTATCCTGACGGCTGAGAGGCAGAGAAAGAGAGAAAGTCTCTCTTAGAAACATTTGACTAGCTCAACTAGATACTAAATTATTTTATAACAGGTATATTAATAATTTCAAATCAGAGCGCCTTAAATTAAAAGACCGTAATTATATATTATATTTATTAATTATATATTTTAATTATATATTATAATAATATTATTCTTAAACAATTTAAACTATCTAAATAAAAATTTAAAATATATATTATTCATAAAAATTAACTGACGATTTTAAATTTTTATCATATTCTTACATAGTTAAAATTATTAAGAAAAAATGTTGTTTGTTATTTATCATATTTTTAAATCAACTCCAGCGCTCAACCGGTACAAATACAGCGCCTGCGCTATCGGATTAAATGTTATGTAATGTAAAACAAAAATTCTAGGCTGTTACTTAACATATTTTAAAATCAGATCCTGATCTCAACAGAATCAAAAACAGTTTCAGCGGTTAACCTGTTCAAACGACTATTTTACATTCCAGAATTTTACATTAGTTCACTATTTCGCCGCCAGGGGGCGACAATGAGAGTAAGGATATATGTAATCACAGTTTTCAAAGGGATCCTGTCAAATTGATCCTCATATAGTCAAGACACAACCCAAAATTAATGACTCTTAGATGACGCTTTACGAGCTAAGCCGCGCATACTGAGACATAGATGGCGCTTTGGCCGTTTGGCGGGTTGCATATATCCTTACTCTCATTGTCGCCCCCTGGCGGCGAAATAGTGAACTAATGTAAAATTCTGGAATGTAAAATAGTCGTTTGAACAGGTTAACCGCTGAAACTGTTTTTGATTCTGTTGAGATCAGGATCTGATTTTAAAATATGTTAAGTAACAGCCTAGAATTTTTGTTTTACATTACATAACATTTAATCCGATAGCGCAGGCGCTGTATTTGTACCGGTTGAGCGCTGGAGTTGATTTAAAAATATGATAAATAACAAACAACATTTTTTCTTAATAATTTTAACTATGTAAGAATATGATAAAAATTTAAAATCGTCAGTTAATTTTTATGAATAATATATATTTTAAATTTTTATTTAGATAGTTTAAATTGTTTAAGAATAATATTATTATAATATATAATTAAAATATATAATTAATAAATATAATATATAATTACGGTCTTTTAATTTAAGGCGCTCTGATTTGAAATTATTAATATACCTGTTATAAAATAATTTAGTATCTAGTTGAGCTAGTCAAATGTTTCTAAGAGAGACTTTCTCTCTTTCTCTGCCTCTCAGCCGTCAGGATAGTTTCTAGTTAAAATCAGAAATTCCGTTATCCTATGTATGTGTATACAAAGGCTATTTTTTAGGTTTATCCTATCTATGTGTATACAAAGGCTATTTTTTAGGTATAGGGAAAAGTACCTGTGTTTTTGGTGACCGAAATCTTGGGATACAGAACCATGCACACTGAACATTTCGGTGAAACCTATGGCATTACTGAATCCCTTTTCAACCCCAATAAAATTAAAGGCCGAATGCATTAGTTGTAGCTACTTGCAGAGGATGCCATTGCCTTGATAGTTTATGGGCCTTGACCACTTCAACTATATTTTTGGAGGGCCGGAAAATATCGCCGCAAACCCAAATATACTTTTATATATATTTATTTTAGTGGAGTTTCATTCATTCATTCATGTATTGCATTCATTGCCGTTCCACTTGCAGGACGATCATAAAGCCTTTCGACGCCAATTGGAGGATAAGCGGCCAATCGTCGAGAGCAATTTAACGAGCGGTCGTCAGTACATCGCCAACGAAGCAGCCGTCTCGGATACCAGCGATACAGAGGGTAAGTTTTATGACTGGCACACTAAAAAGTCGCCCACTAAACTGCCCATTAAGGGGACCACAAAAAGATTTTCCATGAATCTTCTCAAGGGCTCTTGTGGCGCAGAACTGAAATTGGATTCGTTAGGGTCGGTGGGAAATCATGATCTATAAACTGCACGAGGAATAATAGACAATGTCGTGGTAATGGGATAGTTAAAGGGTTCGTTGACACATTCCTCAAAAGTGTGAAGATCATGATATGAGCTTGACAGCTTAAATACCAGTTTATTTGCTTTAAGTCGTTTATGTGATTTTTGTAATTAACATGATAACGTTTAGTTGCTTACACAATTATGTTCAGTATTGAAGACATTTGAAAAATAACCCAAAACTAACATTTTAATTAAATTTATCAGTTTCTAATTTAATGTTTTATGTAGGTCATTCATTGATACACACATTCAATTGAATATCTCAACAATTTTATTTCATAACAAGTGAATTCAGCAACAACCATTTTCTTTTTATCCAATTTCCACATTCGACCCACATTCCGTAGGGCATTTCTCAGTTGATTGAACTTTCTGTCGAATATCTCTCACGAATCAATGAAAAACTAACATGTAAGAATTTGCTTTAACTATTTTACAAAAGCTTAGTAAGCTCAAAAACCACACTACCACTCACACTCACACGCACACTCACACGCACCCAAATCCAAGGATAGAACTTCGGGACGTGAGCGCCTAAAAGTAGACAACTGTTGTTGGGCAACCAGAGAATTGGCAATTGATTTTGCACCACCACACTTACCACGTGCGCCCCTCAAAGCTCAGATCTGTAGTTTTTCTTTTTTTTTTCTTTTTTTTAGACTGTAGTTAACAATTTAGCAAATGGCTGTGAGGGTTTATCTTGGTGGGAAAGGAGGTTAGTGCCTGGTTGGGGATTTGTTTTCGATTTTTTTGTGGCATCATTGGGGCCCGAGGAGATGGGGAGGCGTCAACGATAATTGGGACCAGAGCAATTAGAGCGATTAGTACGCTATTAGTGCCAACCATCAGCTGTGGGAGAGATTTGGCCGCGTCCCCAAATCACGGTCCGCATGTGGCCTTTGATTTTAGGCATTCTGATGTTTATTTTGTGTTGTGGTTCGCCCAGTCGAATTCAGCGAGTGGGCTAAAACAACCAGGGCAAATGAATTTTAATGTACATTGAAATGAACAATTTAAACAGCTAATAAAACAGATACTATGTTTTGGTGGAAAATAAAAAGATATTTATTTATACAAGCAGATATAGTTTTTTAAGTGGTATAATGGACTATTACATTTTATCAATTCAAATTTTAGTCTTACTTTGGGGTTGCCTTCGCGATTAATAATTAAATCCAGCTAATGTTTTTAAGACTCAGGCACATCATTTTCACAGATCCATATAAAATAATAATTTTAATATTTCACCATGGCTCACCAATCAATTTAAAAATCAACTTTTAAGTTTGTTCTTTCTGTAAAGTCAAAATTGAAAAAGAAAAGTTTCGCTCTAGAAAGGCAGTGAAGCGAGCAAAAAGCAGAAAATATTCAAAGCGATAAACTCAATCTTTAAATTGAATTTGAATATTACAACGAAACTTCGATGGAGATGGGAAAAAGTATTCAACTCTCGATATTTGCTTAGCATCACATTACCAGCTGTCCAACCTCTCCTTTGGCCATAAAAGTTGCTCGCTGTCTCCGTCCGTGCATTAAATTAAATTTGGATTTACCCAACTTTGAGTTCGCCTTGTTGCTTCTCTTTTTTGTGTAACTGTGCTGGCTTATAGCAGCCTGAAAAGCAGCAGCAGCAGCAGCAGCTGCCACTCGACTGTCAGTCAGTTGGTCGATCTGTCTGTCCGCCCGTCTGTCTGTCCGTTCGTCCGTCCGTTCGTGAGTCTCCTATTGCATTTCCCTCAGCCGCAAGAGCGCGTCAGTTTGTCTTTCGAATTTCCTGACACTTTTCCTTTTCGATTTTCCCTCAGCCGACTGCCTTTCATCTTTCATTGTTGTGGAAGGAAATAGCTGATGGTTTTGCGGTCTCACCGAAGCTAATCGATGGCTTAAAGACATCGATATTCATTGAATTTATCTCGAAACTTTGGCTCCAACTGGCCAACTGGCCCGACCAGCTAATTGATTCCCCTGGCGCATCAAATTTGAGTTCCTCCTTTGTTTTCACTTAACTTTCAGCTTGGTATTCCCAAGTGCTTACCTGTCCGAAAGATTATTTTATTGCAAATTTAATCACAGCCAGCAATCAGCATAATCAAAGTGGCAGCACAATCATCGACCCGGACAGACATTAAGAGCCATAATATCATCTCTAATTCATAAACTCTCGTACGTGCCAGGAGCTGAGCTATATGGATGGCAAAGAGGTGCCGGTGGGGAATCCAGGAGGCATACTCCTCAATTTAATGGCAGCACAATTGTCTTTTTTGTCAGAACTTTGTCCTTGACTTGATTTTCATAAATTTTCCAACGTTCTCCTATCATAATCTTTTCCTTCTTTTAGCCAACCATGATTCCGACTCGCGTTACATGTCCGCCGAGGAGCAGAGCCGTGAGCTAACACGCAGCATCCGGCGGGAGGTGGGAAAACTTTCCGAGCAGTGGAACAATCTAATCGATAGATCTGACAATTGGAAGCATCGCCTGGATGAGTACATGACGGTAAGTCGAGACTCGCAACTTTTGCCTCTCATTTCCTCTGTGACATTTTCATAATTTGAGTAGGGCTTATGGAAATTCGAACTCGAATTACGCATAATTTTCCATGGCTTTTGCAATTTGCTTTTTTACAACTGCTCGTTAAGTGTTCTTTCTTTGGTGAAAAAGGGGAATTGGATTTTCCAAAGGAAATCGAATTTAGTTAGTTTTCGCAAAAAAAAAAGTTTAACCTATGGCAAAACTACTTGGCAGAACTTACAATTTCTCACGCATTCGTGGCACATTTTCCGCTGTGAAAAATACTTTATTCAATTACATTTCCAGCGGCCACAACAGAAAAAGTTTCGTTCCCCCTCGGAATACTTTGTCCTTCTGTGTTTCGTTCCTGTTTTTTGGGCTAATAAATGCAAGTGTGTTTTTTATGACGCCCGTCGTTTGGGTTTTAGTCTGTCACAGAACAACAACATAATATATTCCACCGCAAGGGCATGTATGTGTTGAAGGGCAGGCCGTTCCTGATGTCTGCTGCTGCCGTCGTTACTCATACGCACCGTAAATTTGATGCAACAATGTTTGATCGCATAAAAATGTCACACAGACTGTGCAAACAATGGCCAACCACATGGAGCAAACCCATTCCCATTTCCATTTCGGAACAAAAACAACTCGTCCAGAGGGCACAAAATGTATAAAATATCAAAGCGCATAAAGTGCACATATTGTATGCGATACTCGTCTGTTTTTGTGTATATAGGTGGCACTCTAAACGCCCAACCGAGCGAAAATCAATGCGACCGAGTGAACGACCAACCAAAGGGCAATAGTCATAAAAATCAAGAAATCCAGGTCTCAAGCGTTAGCAAAAGCAGTAAAAACATAGAAAAAGGCTCAATAGTCAAAATTTAAGTTTAGTGAGCTTTACTAAGCCTTATGCAAGATCTTAAATCTTTTCTATATGAAGAATAAGTTCTACAGATAGTTACTATATTATTTTAAAAACGTTGCCTTTCCAGAACGATCTGAAAGCATAAATAAATCAAACAAACATAAATCGTGCTTTAAACTTCCTTTCTATATCCCTCTATTGTTCTATTTCCTTTAGTGAAACTTAAAACCTTTTTATATTGCCTACTTGTTTATCTGCAGACAAATTTTACATTTGGGAGCACGATTCCATTTTATTGGGTCAAACTTTATAGTGAACATTTTATGTTTGCCATGTTTATTTGTTTTTATTTTGCCAGATCTAATCAAAACGAAATGTTGACCCAGTTGATGGTTTAATATGCCAAAACTGCAAATATTTATAAATAAATTGTATGGTGTCTGCCGCGTTGTTTGGAAATCCACTTAAATCAAATAAATGTTTGTCTTTCCGCGATAGTATTCCACTTTTGCAGCAAAAGTTTTAACGAATTTTAATAACGGACCGGCACTCGTTCAAATGCTCCTTGACAAAATAGTTTTGGCCATCAGGTTTCACGGACCAGTTAACGCGTAACCAATTGAATCAGCAGTGTAAATCGGTGCGAAAACAATCTCTCAATGCCACTCGACAGACCGAAAAAATGCAGACTACTCGAAAGTGCTTAACATTTTTGTGCATTTAATATTTTTTTGAACTGGCATAAAAATGACGTTAAAAGCGTTTGAAAAAACCGCACTACCTTCCTGCAAAAGTTGGTAAACTATTTTGGCGATACTTTGCCCCCCTTACACAGAAATGTATTTTAAATTTTCGTATGCTTCCTGGCATGCGAAAAAAACTGATAGGAGAAACTTGAACAAAATTAACAATGTAGAAAAAACTAAAAGGGGGGGTGCAAAAGTGAAAACATTGAAAAGGTAAAATAAAGTAAAAATTAAAATAGAAATGAAAGAATAAAGTTTGCCAGTAAGGAAAAGTCGGAAAATTGGTACGCTGGAAAAATATAAAAAGTTGAAATAAATGCAACTTAAAACAATTACAAGGGGGAGGATATGCAAACTTTGAGGGCGTTATATGAAAGCCTGGTCGGGCCACGTTTAATGAAGTCACCAAATAGCTGGGGCAAAGTTCAGCCAGTCTAGTAAGCGAATTCCCGCCCTTCTAAGCCGCAGCATGGTGGCCAACGTGGTTAATTGACCAACGGAGGAAATTTTCTATTAATTGAATAAAAAGTTTTACTGGGAAAATTTCATTTGCATAGCAGAGAGAAGACAAGTAGTTTTGTTGCCAGCCATTACGTATACGCCACACTGTACGTGGCAAGCATAAGTTGAAGAAACCGCTTACAGACAGCCGAATCGAAATAACCCGTATATTCATAATGCATAAAGAGAAATATCTTAATTTTGTATCTATCCATTTTTGAATTGAAATACAATTTTGTGATTTCTTGTTAGAGAGATTTTGGCTTACCGATAACTGCTAATGAAATTAAAATGCAAAAGTGCAGATGAAATAGGAAATTGAAGTAGCAGCATATAATTATAGACCTCTTACCTTTGGGATTTCTCACAGCAAGGATTTGCAAACAGGCATTCAACCTTAATGAAGTTTGATTGGCAATGGCTTAGCCAAACCTCAATGCAATGCCCTGCAAGGGTCTTCAATCAACCTAGGGGGCATATTCCGCCCCCTTTTCGTTGAGCTCCGCTCCGAATGATGCATGTCGCCCATCAACATCAATGTCACGCCGAAATTCCTCGGCAATCACCCACAAAACTCAATCAGATGTGGAATGTCGGTCCTGCCATGCTAATGAAAAGGGTTGGTCAGAAACGAAGAGACCAAGAGGCGAGACGAGACGAGACGAGACAAAGCCACAGAACTACTTCTGGCTCATTTGGCAAATAATGCGAGACTCTGAATTTTATGGAGTTAACTCGACAGGGAAGAGGGGAGGGGAGAGGAGAGCTCCAGCGAATGCGTGAATCCCCATGCGACACACGCTCCAGAGAATCCAATCGAATCGAATCGGAGAACCATCCACTTAAAATGGGCAAAATTGTGGAATTGGCAGTCCGCAGTGGCATGCTGAATGGACGCTGAAAAGCAATTGCTTAACGCTTTGAAATATGTTTCATTGATTTCCCGGAAAAGTGCTGGAAAAATGGCAGAAAATGGTGAAAGGGCAGTACGCTCTGGCCATAATTTAACCACATGTGGTCGATATTGAGGCAGGACACCGAGAGGCAACTCATTTAACCCCTTATGACCACTCGGACGCAGCTGCTGCTGCTCCTTGGTCGTTGTCCTCTGGCTGCTTAACCACTTTAAGTAAAAGCTGAAAAATGTCCTTGTAGAAGCTGAAAGTTTTCGTTGCAGTTTGTGTTTGGTTTATTATGCAGGCCATGGCACACAATGAAATCAATTTAGTTGCCCAACCCCCTCACTTTGGCACAAAATAGTTTAATAAATCACTCATACGCAGTGTGTGTGATGCATGTGCGAGCTTTCGTGTTGTGTGGCCTGTGATTTATGTGCACACTTTACGAACTTGCCTCGGTTGACACCAGGAGAATATTATCTATGGAAATTTTGATTTAGCAACCGAGATTACAAGGCAAGTAACTAACAAAAACTAATAAAACAATTTTGTAAATATTGTGCTCATCGTTAGTCGAGAACTGAACCCCTGAAGTGGAAACTTTATTAAAGCCCGCTGCCTAGAAGTATACAATGCTTTGTTTTAACTATTTATGAGAAATAGTATAACATTTTTTGTTTTTACTGAAGGCGGCTTACAAAGTGGTAAAATGCTAAAATATGATTGATTGATATCATATTTGACCACAATTTTTATTGTTAAAAGAAAGGTAGCATAGAAAATCATATTGCAAACCTCTGTCATTGATTGATTGAAAATTAATGCTTTGCTGATTAACATAAAATAAAACCTTCGATAATTTTATCAAAACATTGTTTAATGGATTTCCAAAAATGTAGCTTAAATGCAATTCGATGGGGATTAAATAAATTAAAATTGTTCTTTTAGCATTTATTCCATTCGAAATGGTTACCCAAACAAATGATTTTTACCATAATATAAAAGCCGCATTCCGTGCCATTAAATCCTTTAGCACTGATAAAAAGTAGAAAAACAAAAAAAATGTCACAAGAAGACAACAACTAAGGAGCGTCGAAAAGGGGGGAATTTTCCGTGTCAAATATATAATTTCTCGTCAACCGCCTGGGAAATCAAATGATTGTCGCGCTAAAATGCTTTGGCCATGCAGCTTTCTTCTCTTAGTTTATTTTTATTGCTCTGTCTGGGAAAGGATCCTTTTACCACACCCACAATCAATGTAATAACCGCATATTGCACTCCCCAACTGACTTTTTGCGGCATTTTGTGTGTGCTTGTTGCCTCTGTCTTTTTTTTTCCCCCGTTTGTTGTTTGCGCAAACTGCACAAATATGCCACGAAATGTAACCAATGTATAATTGTGAAACGTGTTGTGCCTTATATTGCCACACACACACACAGCAGTTTCCATGCCTTCTATTTGGAACGTGGCTCACCATGTGGCCAATTCATTTAGCCTGTCAATATTTCTGCTCGATTCTGCTCCTTTTTCCGTAGGCTAACGGCGCCATTTTGTGCGGTAGTCAACTTTTTCCAATTTCACCCTGTTGACCCTTCTAGCAGAGTCGAGGATTTTCATTTCATAAATATTTGTCATTTATTGTATGTTTTTCTTTTCCGACTGGCGTTCTGGCGTTCGGGGGGTAAAAACGAACATTTGGTAAATATTTGCCAACGGGGTATCGCAATATGGCATGAAATAGTTCTCTAATTGGCGTTGCTTTCCAATTAATTGATGCGGGGGATGGGGATCGAAACTGGAAAAACAGAGATAGTAAGAAAATATTCACACAGCGAAATCAAATGCCAAAATAGCAACAGACCATTTTAAATCAGCAAATCCAAACAAAGTCCTGCGACTGTATTTTTTCTTAGCAACTCTTATAAAAGTAAAAATTTAAAGATATTTTTTGAAAATAATTGCGTAGTTTAA